CCCACGCTGGAGCAGGGGGATGCAGGAAGGAGGCTGTGACCCCGGGGCAGGCCCAGCATGGAGCAGGTCCTGGCAGGGACCTGCAGCCCGTGCAGAGGGAAGCCCAGGCTGGAGCAGGTTTTTCCCAGCAGGACTCGTGGCCCCTGTGGGGGACCCACGCCGGGTCAGCTCATCCCTGAAGGACTGACCCCATGGAGGAGGGAGCCACGGGACAGCAGGGTGGGAAGAGCTGCTGCCTGAGGGATGGACTCACTGCAGAGGTCCATCCAGGACTGTCTCCCATGGGAGGGACCCCAGAGGAGCAGGGAAGGATCCAACTCCTCTCCCTGAGCAGTGACAGAAACAACAACTGACTGTAACCCCCATTGCTGTCCCCCTGCACCCCTGGAGGGGAGGGAGAACGTAGAAGGAGGAGTGGGGGGAAGGTGTTTTTAAGACTGCTTTATTTCTCACTTTTTGGGTCTTATTCTGTTAGTAATAAATATAAGTACTATCCTCACTTTGAGTCTGTTTTGCCCGTGCAGGCGATCAGTCACTGACCTCTCCCAGCTCTTATCTCTACTCATGAATCCTTAGCTGTTTTTTTTCTCTCTCCTCTCTCCAGTTGCAGAGGGAGAGAGCAGCTTTAGTGGGTACCTTGGTATCCAGCCAGGGTCAACCCACTACAGTGTCTCTGGGCAGTGTCCAGCTCTGGGACGGCTCTGGGAAGTCCTGGCCTGAAGCCACCACTGTGGAATTTAGGAGAGAGTTGTAACCTTTGCAGAACAGAACTCTTGGTAACTGCTGAAGGCTTCCTGGACAGCATTCCCAGACCTTTTGTTTGTTTGTTTGTTTCAACAAATTTTCTCCAGTTTCTTTCATTGCAACACCGTCTGGATATTATATTAAGCTGAGTCTTTCATTGTCTATTTGAATACTGTTGTGCAGCTACTTATCAAAGTAAATATCTCACCAGTGATTCAATTATGGAAACATGGCTCAGAGGAAGCTCCTGATTTTTGGCGCACCTTTCATCTCTCTAATTTTGCCAATTTTGTTCTTCCTCTCCCTATTTTTGTCTTGAAAAAGCTCTCCAGGATGTGGAGCCTGGCAGTGTTTTCACACCCTGAGCTGTGCCCTGGGACAGGGACAAATGCAGCTTGTAGAGAAATGTGCCAGCCCTGCTGACAGGAGCCCTCTGAGTGCCCAGGGGAGATGGTGCCCAGGCTGCTTTGCTGGGGTGCAATGAAGGGCCAGGCCAGAGGAGGAGGCTGGAGGAGACAGGGCCATTGGCATTTGCTCTGCCAGGACATTCCTTGAGCACATTCCTGTCAGGGACTTGGCAGGAAGAGCCTGAATTTTCCTGGGCTGCCCTCAGGAGATGGCCTTTGCTGCTGGAGCTGCTGGGGTGGAGCCTAGCTCTGTGCCAGCAGTGCCCAGGGCCTGTCCCTGCCTGGGATGGCAGCAGGGACACGCAGCAGGACTGTGCCCAAGCTGCCAGAGCACTCAGGCCTTGCAGCCACAGCAGGGCTGGGAAGGAGAGGGGGCAGGTGCCAAGAGTGGCCACAGCTGGGCTGCTGTGCTGGGGGTCTCTGCTCTCCACGGCTCCACACAGGCACTGCCCCTGCAGTCAGGGGGCAGAAGAATCTTGGGCACACAGAAATCAGGGCAGGGCATTTCTTTAATTTAAATGAACAGAGAACAAGCCTTTGGAAAGTCTTGGATTTACAAAAGAATGGTAGATACTGATGTAGAAATACTGTGATATTCATTTACTTTATAACAGAAGAAAATGAATAAGAAAATGTTCCAATAAAAGAACAAATAAGAGGAAATGTCTGAGACTGTAATGAATTGAATTCTGAATGCCCTGCAGAACAAAACAGATGGTTTATTGCTTTTTAAAAAATCCAATAATTAGTTTCCCCATGAAATCTCTGACTTCCGTGTTCCTCAGGCTGTAGATGAGGGGATTCAGTGCTGGAGAAATCACTGAGTACAAGATTGACATTGCTAGATCCAGAACTGTGGAGGAGATGGAGAGGGGCTTTAGGTGGGCAAACGTGGCAGTGCTGAGGAACAGGGAGACCACGGCCAGGTGAGGGAGGCACGTGGAAAAGGCTTTGTGCCATCTCTGCTCAGAGGGGATCCTCATCACAGCCCTGAAGATCTGCACATAGGAGAAAACAATAAAAACAAAACAACCAGATGATAAACAGGCACAAGCACTAGAAACACAAGTTCCCTGAGGCTGGAGTGTGAGCAGGAGAGCTTGAGGATGTGTGGGATTTCACAGAAGAACTGACCCAGGGCATTGCCCTGGCACAGGGGCAGGGAAAATGTCTTGGCTGGGAGCAGCAGAGCCCTGAGAAACCCAGTGGCCCAGGCAGCTGCTGCCATGTGGGCACAAGCTCTGCTGCCCAGGAGGGTCCCGTAGTGCAGGGGTTTGCAGATGGGAACATAGCGGTTGTAAGACATGATGGTGAGGAGATAAAACTCTGTTCCAAGGAAGAAGAAGAGCAGAAAGAGCTGGGCAGCACATCCCAGGTAGAAGATGTGCCTGGTGTTCCAGAGGGACATGGGCTTTGGGCACAGTGGTGCAGAGGTCTGTGAGGGAGAGGTGCAGCAGGAAGAAGTCCCTGGGGGTGTGCAGGTGCTGGTCGCAGGCTACGGCACTGAGGATGAGGCCGTTGCCCAGGAGGGCAGCCAGGGAGATGCCCAGGAAGAGCCAGAAGTGCAGCAGCTGCAGCTCCTGCCTTTCTGCCAATGCCAACAGGAGGAACTGGGGGAGGGAGCTGCTCTTGGGCATTTCTTCTCTCTGGGAACAGTGTACTGTTGATGGATGGCATTGACAAGTTGGGTAAGACTTCTGTAAAGCAATTCCATACTATTTTCCAAATTACTCCAAATTCTTTCTTTTTCTTTGGGGGAACTTTGTTGATCTCCTTTCTGTGGGCTCAGTTCTGAGCTGCTGAGTGAGGGCAGGAACCCTCACCTTGCCCATTGCTCTCAGCACAGAGCCGGGGGATCTGTGAGGAACCAAGGTGCTCCTGTGCTCTGGTACAGAGTCAGGAGAGCTGCTCTGCCCATATGTGATCTACTGCTCACCACACCGGTGCCCTGTGCTTATTACAACTCTCCTATTGCAGGATGATCACTCTTAAAGCATACCTGAAAGAAAAGTAGGTATTTGGAAGACTGCAGTTTCAAAATTATTTTCTCTGAACTCTTTGCTTTTCCTGTGCAGCTGAGCAGAGAGAGATGCAGAGGGGTGCTTTGGTTCTCTGCTGCCTGGAGCTGTCCCTGCCAGCAACTGCTTCTCTGTGCCCAGGGCTGGGCCCTGGCAGTGCTGCCAGAGCCCAGCCCAGCCCTGGGGGCTCAGCTCTGCCCTGCAGAGCCCTCCCAGCTCAGGGCACTGCCCAGGGGCAGCTCTTGCTGTGCAGGCTCTGTTGGCAATGTCAGACCAAAATGGAGGAGGCTGGAGAAGTGATGCTGATGCTCTGTTAGTCACGGTGTGCTGTTTCTTGATTTATTTCCTGGTTTCTACAAGCCTGAGAGAAGGAGTTTTGGAGTTTCAGTGCCTCCTCCTAGACAGGGGTATGAATTCCTTTGACCCATTTCCCACCCAGAAAATACAGCCTGGGAGACTGAAAGAAAAGCATCCTTCCCTTTCATATATCTACTGCCTTGCTGTGATTTTTCCTTCTCCTAGGAAATATTACAGGGTTAATTGGAACTGTGAGAAGCCCTGACACACCCAGCATCCTCTGACAGAAGGACCCTGCCCTTCCCTACCAGAAGTTGCTCCTTGTCCCTAGCCCTTCTCCCCCAGCCCTGGGAGCAGCAGCCCCAGGCATTTAATGAACCTCTGGGGATTTGGGGATGAGCCCCTGACCTTTAGACACTGAGGAGAGTTGCAGAAACCTCTTGAGAAACCAAAGTAAGATTCCAAGTATAAAGTTTCTTGTAGTGTTAATGGGTCCCACTGAGGGACCCAGCAAAGAAAACATCCCCAGGGTCTTGTTAGAGCACAAAGCTGCAAACAGGGATGACAGATCACAGAAGCACAGAATAATCAAGGTTGGAAGAGACCTTCAAGATCTTCTAGTCCAGTTGTCAACCCAGCACCACCAGAATCACCCCTAAACCACATCTCAAAGTACCAACATCCAGATACCATCTGAACACTTCAAGTGACACAACCACCTCCCTGTGTTACTTGTTCCAATGCCTGAACACTCTCTCAGTGGAAAAAGGGTTTTTTCTAACATCTGAGCCAGTTTTTCCCCCAGCAAATAGTTCCCCCATGCCAGCCATGAGCAGACAGTTTCTGCAGGAGATGCTGTGGGAGATAGTGCCAAAGGCTTTCTGGAATTCCAGAGACACATCCCCAGCCTTTCCCTCAGCTGCTGAGCGGGTCTTTTGTCAGAGAAGGAGACCAGGTTGGTCAGGCAGGACCTGCCTTTCCCAACCCCACGCTGGCTGGGCCTGATCCCCTGGATGTCCTGCCCATGCCATGGGATGGCACTGAGGATGATCTGCTGCACGGACTTCCCCGGTACTGAGGTCACTGTGACAGGCCAGGAGCTCCCCAGATCCTCCTTCTGGCCCTGGTGGTGGATGGACATCCCATTTGCTTGTTGCCAGTCAGCTGGGACTGCTGCAGTTCTGCAGCACTGCTGGGCCAGGAGTGAGAGTGGCTTGGCCAGCTCTTTCTGCAGTTCCCTCAGTACTCTGGGGTTCATCCCCTCTGGGCCCAGGCACTCGTGGGGGTCTCACTGGCAGAGCAGGTCACTGACCATTTCCTCCTGCATTGGGGGGGCTTCACTAAGCTACCCATCACCAACCTCAAGCCAAAGCCTGCCTGCCAGGTGTCCAAGGGGTCACTTCTGCTGCCCCCTCCTTCCTTCCCCGGGATGGAAAACTCCCTCACTTAGTGTCCCTGTGCCCCAGATGGCTCCCACCACCCACTCACCCACCAGTCTCAGCATCATGGAATGCTTTGGGTTGGGAGGGGCCTTAAAGAGCATCTCATCACCCTCCCAGGAAAGAATTCCTTCCTACTTTCTCCTGGACTCTTCCCTCTATCCATGGGAAGCCACTTCCCCTTGTCCTGTCACTGCAGGCCCTCGTCCAAAGTCTCTCTCCATCTTTTTTGTTGTCCTCATGGAACCAAGGGAGCTCTGAGATGTTTCTGAACCTCACAGGATCCAGGGGCCTTTGTGACCCTGCAGAACCTCATGGATTCAAGTGGTCCTTGTGAAACTGCAGGCTCTCGTGGAACCCAAGGATTCTTGGAACATGGCAGAGCTCACAGGACCAAGGGGCCACTGTCTCACTGCAGATACTTTGGAAGCACAAGGGACCCTGGGACAGTGCAAAATCTCCCTGAATACAAAGAGCATTTGGGGACTGCAGGGCCTCATGGAACTAAAGGAAACTTTGGAGACTGTGGAAGCTCATGGAATCAAGGGGCCATTGTGACCCTGCAGGGCCTGATGGCCCCAAAGGGACCCTGTGGCACTGCAGACCCTCATGGAACAAAAGAAACGCTGGGAAACTTGTGGGATCAAGAGGCCATGAGAACAGTGCAGGGCCTTGTGGAACCAAGGGGCCATTGGGACACTGTGGAAATTCATTGAATCAAGGGGTCACTGGGACATGTGGGGCCTCCCGGAACCAAAGGAACCCTGAGAATTTTTGTGGGATCAAGTTAAGGCAGCAGCAGCTGCATTCAGTTAATTTGGATCAACGAGGAGTGTTTTGTCCTTGGCTGGTGTTTTCGATCAAGAGAGTGCTGTTTCCCAAAGTGGAAACCACTTGGAACAGTCTGCATGGTAGCCTGTGTTTTTCTCTCGTGGCTGAACAGCCTCCACGTGAGGTGAGGGGAATGTGTGGGATCGGTGTCTCTGGGGCTGAGGGGCATTGGGATCTGCTTTCTCTGCGGTCGGTCCGCCAAGCCAGCAGGGGGCGCCTCGGCAGGAGCAGGAAGAGCAATGCCGCGCGAGACCTCATGGGAGTTGCAGTTCCCTCATGAGAACGCCGGCGCGCCTGCGCAGTGCAGCCATGGCGGGGGGACAGCGCCCCCGCGAGGGTTCCAAGGCCCGCAGCCCTTTCAGGGACCCCCGAAATCCCCTCAGAGACCCCCAAAACTGCCTTAAAGAGCCCCCAGGACCCACAACCCCCCTCAGAGACCCCCCCAACCCACCTGGGACCCCCCAATCCCCTTAGAGACCAAAGCTCCCTCACGGACTCTCAAACCCCTTCAGGGACCTTCACCCTCCCCTCTGAGCGCCCTCAGGACACCAAATCCCCTCAGCGACCCCCAAAAAGCCCCTCAAGGACCTCAAAACCTCCTCGGGAACCCCCGAGCCCCTCCACTAAACCCTCCCAAACAATCGAGCCTTTCCGCCCGCAGCCGCACTCCCCGCAGCCCCAAGCGCATCCCCAGCCCCGCCGCAGCCCCACCAGGGAGTTGTAGTTGCAGCAGCTCAAAGCTCACTGCAAGATTTGGTTCAATCGTTACCCAGCATTCAGCTTCTGGTAAATTTAACATTCCACACACATCTTGTTCTTTTAACATTAACAGGTCGAGGGCTCATCTGGTTCACAATGTCATCTTAGTAGTTTGCTGGGCTGGAGTGTTTAATTCTCCAAATGCAGGCTGTGTCCAGTTGCTTAAAACACTTCATTGCCAGGTAATATCTTCTAATATAAATTGATGTCTTTTTAAGGTGACAAAGGGGGTAAAGAAATTCTCAAGAAAAAGGGATGTTTTTTGTCCAGTGGTATAATAATCTGGAAAATCAGTCCCTTTAATTGCCCATTCTGGTCTTTGTGTTCCTTTTGAAGAGGGAATAACACTGCAATAGGGACGTTCTTTAGACACTTGAGTGAAAGCAAAGACATGTCTGGGGCAAAGAGAGGGAATTCCAGGTCCACCCCTAAGTCCAGCATGCTGCTCTAGTGACAAACGTGAATAAACCTTTCCATCAGAGCACCCCCAAACCATTCCCAGAGGGGCTTTATATTTTGCAGTTTTACAGTCAGTCTTGTCTGCACGATCAAGGGTGATGATCTTTGGTTTAGTGTTTCTTGGGGTGCCGTGGATGGGGCAGTGGGTACAGGGAACTCCGCAGTGATGAAGAAGGTGTGAAGCCTGCACCATTCTGAGGTGTGTGAGGGTTATGAGGACAGTGCCTTTATGAGGCTGCCCCATTCTGGGGTGGATGGGTTCTATGAGCACAGAGACCTCCTGAGGCTGCCCCATTGTGAGGTGGATGGGGTTTATGAGGAGAGAGACTTTATGAGAACCTCTTATGAGGTTTATAGGCTTTATGAAAGCACCATTATGACATGTAAGGGTGTTATGAAGACAGAGCTTTTATGATGAGAGCTCTTTTATGAGGTTTATGGGCTTTATGAGGCCTGCACCATCATGAGGTTTATGGGCTTTATGAGGACAGTGCCTTTATGGGGCCTGCACCACTATCAGGTAAATGAGCTTTATAAGGACAGTGCCTTTATGAGGGCTGCCCCATTATGAGGTGCATGGGGTTTATAAGGAGAGAGACTTTATGATGAGAGCCTCTTGTGTGGTTGTTCCAGGGAGGGTTCGGAGACATGCTGAAATTGAAACCGAAACACCACTGAAAGCTCAAAAAAAACCAAATTCTCACAGATGGCTGGGCCAAACACAGACCAGCAGTAGCAGTGGCTAATTAAGCACGGACACATTCCACCGTGGGGTCCGTGGTAGGACCAGGCCACTGTTGAATGACTCAGACAGCACACTGATGAAATGTCACCTTTACAATGTTGCACATCATGGTAAAAAGCAAGGAAAACAACACAATTTGTCCATAAAAAGTTACAGCAACAGTCCAAACAATAATATTCTTGCAATCATGTCCATCTTCAGTGGGGAGATTCAAGTGGGTTTTAGCTGTCATCCACCTTGAGTTGTTATGCAAAGTACATCCTTACTCGTTGGGTCAGCCAGGGTCACCCACACGCTCTGCTGTGGTGGTGGGAAGTCAACAGTACTTGAGATAATCTTTTTCCAGTTAGCAGACAGGGGGTCAGTGTCCCACCTTTGGACACAGTCCCCAAGTTGGAAGAGATGAACAGGAGTGTCCAATCTTATGGGTCTGGATAACACAATGAGTCTCTGGAGTCTCTGCAAAGTAGTCTAAACTACTAAACAATTTTTATAAAGCAACTTCAAATTTCAGAATTTTTGTATTTTGGCAGTATAAGAGGGATTTAGCTTTTATAGTATGAAGTGGTTGACTGCCAGTCACAAATTTATGGGCCTGTTAGGAGCTTACCACAGGCAGTGTGTGCCTGGAGTTTGATGCAACAGCAAACAACATCCTGATCCTAACTCGCTCCCAGAGAGGGCTTGCACTCTCTGGAGAAATTCCAGGCCTCATCTGGGGCAAGCTGTCCTGCCACAGTCTGCCCCTGACTGCAGTCAATCCCCTCCAACTCATGGAATGATAGTGCAGGTATCTCTTGCCTACACGCTATAAAAGAATTTTCATCCATACCAAAATGCATGTGCGTATGCTATTACGGCAAACCAATCAGTATCAAAATGGCTGTTGACTTTGGCATATTTACGTTAACTATACCATTGAGTACCAAAAAAATACTTCTGCTGAAAGAAAATCTCAGAGACATAAGAGCATGAAGAAAGTGTCCAGGATGTGATCAAAATTCACTTATTCATTAAAGCAAGGTACAAGCTAGACAAATCATTCAAACAACTTAAACAAACCATCAAGCTATAAAGTTACCAGTATATCACAAAGATTGCAGGCAAAATGCAAGCCAAGGCCCATAGAGGGGGTCCACAAACACTAGTCTTCATTTGCAGTCTTGCAAATCAGCTACTTTCTCACTTCCTACCTGTATCGGGGAATGTTAATATTGTTTGGTCTATGTTTGGCCCAGCCACCTGCAAAAGTTTTGTTCCTTGCCTGCCAAGTTCACTGATAAACGGGAGCTTTGTCCTTGGAGAGAGAGTTTCTTGTGTAAACTGTTTTAATTGGTGTTCTGTGATCGGTTGGTTGTCTGTAGAGGACATTTGAAGGAGAAACTGAAGAGGAGAGGATGAAGGAAAGCCCCCAGA